AATTCCATTTATGATGTTTTACAAAAAAATAAATCTGGACGTTCTTCATATAACATCTTGTTTAATTGCAAATATCTGTAATTTTTGCTATTTCAATTAACCTTTTTTTAATTTCCTGTTAAGATCTGCCCTTTGGCACTCATGGGATAGCTTGACTATTTGTTCAGAAGATAATTAGCATCCCATAGCATGTCTCCAAATGACGTTGGTCTTCAGAAAACTGCTTTGATGGTTCTACATATAATATGCGTCTTTTGAGGAATGGCAAATCCAGAGGCATTTCTGAGTGTCACAGACCCCAATAGCTTAGAAAGTGACCTGTGTTTTGAAAGACTGTAGAAAGATCACTTTCTGTGTTTAATGTTTTATATTCTCAAGTGGTGAAGAGAATACATTTCCTAAAAAAGAGGCATAGTAAAAAAAATGACTAGACCTATAAATGTAGAGTTATGCAGATGCACAACTGTAGTGAGAGTAGAAAATATATTTGTTATTTATTCATAATATGTCTTAATATTAAAGACTAGTTACTCTAGTTCAGAGAATTTCAGGATTTCTTTTTTATGTTAGAGTAGCACTAGAGGTGACTGCGCAGAATCTTTAAAAACACGCAGCCAGTTTTATGTGTACCTACATCAGAGCCAGGTAATTGGATATTAATGTAATTGCAGTCTTCAGTGTGAGTACAGCTGAATCTGGATTAGATTTTATTCCTTCATTTCTGTAGTGCCCATCAGAAGCGAAGCAATGCAACCTCTGATTTTATTTTTAAATTTTAGGTAAATAATTTGTTACGTGGTATCAATTGTGGACATCTTTATCCAATGACTAAGTTGTTTTTTCATTCCTTTATGAAAGGGGTGAGAGTAAAAACCCATTAAAGTTGAAAGTATAATTCTGGCATTTTATCAAATGTCTTAAAATATCTTAATTTAGTTCAAATGCATATCTTAAAAATAGGAATGAAGAATAGAATTTTCAGGATGCTGAAGTTCCTGAAAAATAGGGTTTCTGATATTTCTGGTTTATCTTCAAGTGTTGCTTCTAAATGATGAAGGTACTTCTGATGATTGTATTCCAAGTATGTGTATGTGTCCCTAACCCTGAAAGCAGGTGACCAAGCACTGGATGCATTTCCCAAATTCGAAGCATCTGACTTCGGAATAATCTCAGATACAGTCATTTAGTTTATTTTTAGCAAAAATAAAGTGCTCCTTAACTCTATCCCAACTGCTGCTCCATTTTCAAGGAGCACACACAAGAAAGTGAAAAAGTAATAATGCTGGCTTGTAAATGCAGCTACGGGATTTTATCCCACCTGCTGCAAGGAATTGGCAAGAATTCCACTGGATGTGGGAGAGAGAAGGAAAAACTGGAAAAGATGAAGCTCCAGATAAAATGTTCCAGCTGAGAACTTGCTGGACTCTGTTTCTGGCTGTCCTGTTCAACGATTGTGTTTAGCTTGACTGAGGCTGGTGGTGCATAAAATAAGTTGATCCTACTGCATCATCATTAAGTGAAAGCGTGCCACTTAGTAAAAGTGCAGGAATATTTGCATCTCTCTCTTTAGCTCTCTTTTCATGCTAATGTATGCATTTGTCAGGAAATTACAGAGGCTGAGCAGAGGAGCATCCTTTGTAGCTGTGTATCTATCTATGTCCATGCTGCTCTGTCTTACGGTTTTCTTATTCTCCCTGTGTTTTGGCACAGAGCAGGGGTCAGAATATAAACAGAAATGAAAGTGGCCTATTTAGATCATACAGTGTTAAAAATTGCCAGGCAGTCAGTTCTTCATGGCAGGGACTTCTCTCTTACCTTGTCTCTGAAGATTCCATGTACTTGGTATGAAAGTATTTTTCTGTGGGTAAGAAAGCTGGTGATTTTTCTCCCACTGCTTATGGATAAAGAAGCCAATAAGGATTTTAAAAGGAAAGCTCAAATTTGACAAAAATCAGTGTGTGCTGTTTGCTCACTGTAATGGAGCTGTTACTTTTCCTGTGTAATTGAGAATATTATATAATTTAATAAAACATAATTATGTTTGTGACTATACTACACATTCATCTTTTGTGCCGTAGGTTGCTCAGAGACTTACATGAGGTGGATACACTTTTCATCCAGCTTTCATGTTTTCAATTCCCTTAGGGCTGGATTGGTCTGAAGACAGTGGAGAAGAGTTGGAGGATTCAGAGCAAACCTCCCCTTACCAGGTTGCGTGGTCTATCCGAGAAACCCTCGGCTATGAGAGACATGAGTGAGTATGATTCTTTAGTATTCATCCTGGCCTTGATGGAATAATTCATGTAAATGTGAGCTTCACTTCAAGTGGAGTCAATGGAACCTAAGCACTTGTTTGAGTGCTTTGCTGAAACAAAGGATTGTTTCAACTCATTTGTTTGTAAGAGCTATGAAACAGCTTGTCGCCTTCTATCCCACCTAACTTTGAGACCTTTGTGCAGTCTGCTATCAGAAAGATGCATCAGGAAAGAATTTAAGCTTATTTGCCTAAATTTAATTGAGTTTAGTGGGATCAACTCATGAACTTGTGTGCCTTGCCAAGTAGAGGTATTTCCTGAATTAGAACCAAATGAAGGGAGTTGCTATTGGTTTCTTGTCTTTCCCACTATTTGTAAATAACTCTGTTAGTAAACTTGCTACAATTTAATCATTAACCCCTTTGATAATTGTGCAGGTTGTTGTTTTAATGTGTTTTTTTAAAGGGCATGGCAGTTCTTTCCATAATTAAGTGTTGAATAAACCTCTGTCAAATCGTTGGGAGCATTGAGAGGAAGTGACGTGATTGAAGGGATAAGCAGAGCAGGTATTAGCCGCTGGTGCAGAAAGGCTTATGGTGTTCTCCATATACTGCTAAGTCATGAATCTGAATTTACAGCAGGATATGAAAATATGTGTATAATAATGTAAATTTTAAGGTGCAAAGTTAAAGCAAAGTATCCCAAGCATAGTACTGTAACAAAACTGAAGCATGTTGATAACAAAAGGAAATTGAGGTCTCAATAAAGTTTGACTGGAGTTTCTATGATGTGATTCTCTTTCACTATGCAACTGGACTTTTTGATACTAAACTCTCTCCCATTTATTTAATGTTTAAATATCACAGTTAGGGTAATGATGTTACTGAAACATTTTGTTGTTACATGGAAATTCTGAACCTTACCAGAACTTCTTACCATCTCTAAAGGTTGTTTACAAGGTGAACAACAAAGCTGTATCTCTGTCATCAGGACAGATACCAGGATACTAAATACTGAGAGCCTTTAGTGAATCAAAGTTTTATAGCAGTGTGTAGACTTTCCTTTTTTAAAAGAAAGGTTTTTTTCTCTTATGAATGACCATGAATTGGTTTTTAGGGCATCAGCAGTCAGAGAGAGAGTGAGCTTTCACAAACATTAGTTTTAACTTAAAAGGCAACTTTTAAATAAACTGTTTTGGGAAAACATGAAGAGACTTTTAAATCATACATAATATTTAAAGCAGATATATTTATTAAATAATTACACTCTTCTGTCTTTGACATTTGATCTGGTTCTTCCATAGACCCCTGGTTTTTTGTCAACTTATAAAGGTCATCTCTGTGTGTTTTGTCTTCTATTTGTCTTAACTTCCTTTGGATTCTTCCTACCCTTTTCATATACATAGAGAAAATAATACCTTGTCTTGACATTTTCTGTTCCATTGTAGCATTTTACACCCTTCAATTAAGCACTGTCTTAACTAAATCATGATGGATAAGTTTTTGTACAGTACTGACTGCTTTTGTATTTCTATCAGCCTGCCCAGTGTTAGTTCTTCAGCAACTTCCCTCATTTTCTTTATGGGTAAACAGTGATCCATTTACTTGATGTCAGCCTTCTAAAACTTTAATTCCTATTCTGTAAGCTTCTGTAGAGGTTTTTATTACGTGAAATGTTTCACGCTGACACTTTTGCAATGTGGTCTGTCTGCTGCTGAAGATGAATTAGTTCAAACTATTTCTTGGTTGATTTCATTTGTCAAAATGACTCTTGTCTTGTGAATCTGGCAGTGGAGACTGGTGGCTCCTAACTTAGTTAGATGGTGACTTGTTATGACTCTGAATTTTGGAGGCTAATTTTTCCAGAAAGCCAGTGGAGATTGTTTCCCAAAACCTTTTGATTCTGAAATCCCACACCTAAACCTATAGGAATTTACTTACTGTTTTTCATAGTAAAATTAAAGCTATTTTTTCTGTGTTCATTTGTGTCTGAGCTTGTGGTTCCTGTGTAGAAGGGATAACTCTCCACCAGCTAGCTGGATTCTGTCCTTTTCCATTTGTGACTCCATGGAAGACAGTGGGAGGGATGCTTCTCAGAACAGATTAGTAAAAGAAAGCAAACAGTTCATTTCTGCATTACCAGACAGCTTGTTCTCCATATTTCTGGTTGTGTAATTTTAGGGGGAATCCCCTAACTTTCTGTTGAACTTCTTGTGTGATACTCTAGCTGCTCCTAAACTCTCAAAAATTCAATGGATTAGTTTAAAATTAATGTCTTGACAGTAATACATTTTTTAGTTCACTTGCCTTCTGGCCTTTTAATCTGTAAAATTCTTATTGTTGCAGTCATCTGTGGAAACACAGGCCAAATGTTTGCTTTTATTATTCTGTCCTTTAATTTTGAAAAATCGGGTTCCTGTGGTCGCAGGATTCTGGGATGCAGCGCTTGGAGGCAGGCACAAATGTTTGAGTTCAAATAGCAGCCCAGGAGCTGGCACCAGGCGCAGTGCAGGGTGGCTGGCAGGGAAGGCGGTTGCTGGGGTGGGAGGAATTCCTCGCAGGACCAGCGGTGCGGAGGGAAAGCAGGGGCTGTTCCCTGCTGCAGATTAGTGAAGCTTCCCCCCAGCTGGTTCCATTACTCGGTGTTGTAGCTTCGAAAGTACTGGAAACAAAGGTGTTTTTCTCTTCCTACACTGAAATACAGATAAGGTGAGTGTTTCAAGTAGTGAGTTTGAAAAGGGAGTGTGGGGTTTGGAGTCCCTCCTCATACCAGCACACTCAAAGGAGCAAATATCTACCCTGTATTGTCAAAGTTGGATTTCATAACTCCCAATAGCTAGAAGAACTAAAAGGAAGAAGGGAAGGTTCTTCAAATCTCTCCTTACAGAGGGTTTTGAAGTACAGTCGCTGGTGCGTCTCAGAGTAGAGAGCATGTTCTCCTGGTTCCCTGATGGTGCCTGACTGCTCATGCTACCCTTTTGCTCTTCCGTTTTGCTGCTTTGTGCTGCCTTTGTTTTCTTCGTGAACACTCAGCAATAATTCCCCTGATGTTCACGCACGACAATATCAAAGAGAAGGGCTGTGAAGAAGCATTTTGGATTATCAAATGGTTTGCATGCACTTTCAGAAATCTTTTAAAAAATGAAATGCCACACGTTAAGTTGAACTTCAGAAGTTATCTATGCAAGCTTAAGAGAATAAAGTAAATAGAAGTTGGTAAACTTGTTTATGAAAACAATAGAAGCACCTTTCAGTTTCAGTACTTGCCTAGCAAAAAAAACCCAGCCATGTTATAGTGATTGTTTAGGTTTCTTTGAACATATAAATATGTTTTGGTTGATCTTACTGGCCTGGAAAGAAAATTCTGAATAGACTTTTAGAAACTGTTTGCCTCAAAATAAGCCCTTGTCCACTGCAGGCATGATTTCTTTATACTTCTTGTATGAATACGTCTTCATCTTCATATACTTTTAAAAAATGATCTCATAAACCGCAGTTCAAAATATTTTAACACAGGATGACTTTTTCCTGTCTATTTCAATGGGAAGGAAGTAAAAAGTCTCAATATAGAGACATTTGCATTTCCACCCAAAAGAAACATTCCTTTACCCTAAGGAATATTACTGTAACGTCTTAAAGTTAATTTATAACCATATTTAAAATTATATCAGCATGTCTGCAACTTTGTTTAAAAATCTTGTCTCAGAGCAGAAATGAAATACCTAAGACCTTAGATCTACCTATACCTAACTGATCGCATCTATGTATTCCTTTTTTCTATTAATACATTGGAAAAAGCAAAATCTATATTAAATAGCACACAATTAAATTTTTCTAAATAGGTTGTTTTTCCCAGTAGGCAGCCTTAGTGGAGATGAATGCAATCTCTTCAATTTAGCCTCTGCGTGAATGGAATAAGATTTTCCAGAAAGAAAAGTAGGTCTTCATCATACTGCCTTTCAGGGACAGCTGTTCTGCCTGCATTTCTGGATCTTACTTTATTTAGTAAATATCATGGCAGGTATTTCGCATCTCTTCTATCACCAGCTAGCTGTGGTCTGCTTTGCTGTGCGCAGGTTTGGATGTCCGTTCATTCAATCTCTCTGGCCAAGCTCTGCAGTCTGAAGCTTGGGAGCTTTTGATTTGCTTCATTTGTTTGGACTTGTTTTCTTCTCCCTGCCCTTCTTTTGTCTTACAGATAGGAAAGTTAGCAAAAATTTTCTCTGTTCTATAAGGAAAAACTTAAAGGAAAAACTGAACAAAGTCTGCTTTGCTTAGATTCTCTGCATGCTCTTTGTTGCTCCGTGAACAAAAAACTACATTCTGCCAACTAGTGGTTGTTGTGGAGGATTTCCGGGTAGCTTCATTGACCTTGTTGTTTTAACAAGTTCCAGTGATGATTTTATTACATTTCATGATTCTTACTTCATGTAACTGAATGTGTTGACATGGTTTGATGGTCTTGTTGATATGTGACTGGACATTCAGAAAGCCAAGTGTCCTGGTTTCGACTGGGATAGAGTTAATTGTCTTTTCCTCTAGTCACTGGCGTAGTGCTGTGTTTTGTATTTAGTTTGAGAATAATGTTGATAACACCCTGATGTTTTAGTTGTTGCTAAGTATAGTTTACGCTAGTCAAGGACTTTTCAGCTTCTCATGCCCTGGCACTGAGAAGCTGGGAGGGGGTGCAGCCAGGACAGCTGACCCAAACTGGCCAAAAGGGTATTCCATACCATATGATGTCATGCTCAGTATATAAGGTGGGGGGAGTTGGCTGTGGGGGGAACTGCTGCTTGGAAGCTGGCTGGGCATCAGTTGGCAGGTGGTGAGCAACTGCATTGTGCATAATTTATTTTGTATGTTTTATTATGATTATTTCCCTTCCTTTTCTGTCTTATTAAACTGTCTATCTCTACCCACAGATTTTAGGTTTTTTCTTTTTTTTTTTTTCCCAGTTCTCTCCCCCATCCCACTGGGGAGTGGGGGAGTGAGCGGATGGCTGCATGGTGTTTAGCTGCCTGCCTGGTTAAACCACAACACCAAGATAAACGGGAAAAGGCTTTCTTAAGCAAACAGGGAATTGGGTCAGTCTGTCATCTGGTCATTGTTTAGGCCTGGTCTGATTTTTCCCTCAGTACTTTTGGAATTAAATGTGAATTTCTTCTCCATGGTTGTACTGTAACTCAACTAAATTTGCAGCAAGGGGAAAGTAGTATCAACTGCTAGCTGTATGAGTGTGTATTTTCGTTTAGGAAGGAAAACACCACCTGGCAGAGTAAGAGGAATTGGAAAAGGTCAGCAGTTTTGGTACTTGTTAGAATATGACCATCTTCTCCAGCATGACCTTTGTTCAATAAATTTCCACTACATAGTTCCCCACCCTTGTCCTCTCTATTCATTGCGCTTTGATTTAAGAGTTTATCTCATTTGCTGAGACATTTACAGTAAATAAAGGTTAACAGTATAGATTTTTTTTTTAACAGCAGGCTCCAGACATTTAAATGTGTCAGACTTGATGGTAAATTGATGTAATCTCTAATAATGACATACTAAGAAGGGTAAGTACCTTTAGAATTCAAAAGGGATCCTGCTCTTACCATTTTTCAAGCACCCCTGCCTGATTTCAGCCTTTGGATGTTTGTGGGGGTAGAAGATGGATGCTGACTTAACAATTCTATTAAAATGACAAATTAGCTTCCTTGGAAAAAAAAATACTTAAAGCCCACTTGTTTTTATTTTCCCTCCAGGTCCGATGATGACAATGCAGATGACAGGAGTTCCAGGGTGACTAGACTTTGCACTTACTTTCAGCAGAAATACAAGCACCTCTGCCGCCTGGAGCGGGCAGAATCTCGTCAGAAGAAATGCCGGCATACACTCCGGAAAGCCTTGCTGCAGGCGGCCAGCAGAGAGCCGGAGCGTGCTGGGCAACTGATACAAGAACTCCGAAGAGCTACGTGTGCTCGTACCAGGTTAGACCTTCCCCTGTGACTGCAGCAACCTGGGGTCTGGGCAGGGTGGAGATGGGCAAGTATCCAGCAGCTGAAATGCTGAACTCTGAGACTGGTAGGCATGCACAAGGCAGAAAACCCATGACACTTAAATGCCTGTCAGCAGAATAAACATGGCATACAGTGTTTTCCATGAAGACAGGCATTCTCCAGCTTTGTCTTTTAAAATGTGGATTGTTTGTTCAGCAGTATCTAGGCATGATTTCTTAAATGTCACAAAAGAAGTTAGTGAGCTGGTAAAACTTATTCTTACTTTAATTAGTCTATGTATTTTGGCCACCTTCAGATATCTGGTACTTTACTAAGCCCAGTTCTTTAGAAGGTGTACAGTCTGCTCTGCAGTTCACTGCTTCAATTCAGATTTTGTTTTTCAGACAGCTTTTTATGAAAGGTCTGTACCTCCCTTAATTCTCTTCCCAGCAAATCAAACTTAAGCTCATGCTTTTTGTTAGATTTAACTCAATCTAACATTAAATGAAACTTGGCAACAAAATAAATATCTTCTAACAACTCTGAAGGTTACCTTCTGTGGGAATTCTTTCTAGATAATGTCAACATCCCTACAGCTCTTGTCATGCTGAGAGTTGGTTGATTCATATTTGTGCAGAAGCAGAGTAAGTCTGAACCCTGGCGTTATGTCTGGGGTACCAGCAGCATCCTTTTGCTGTTGTGGTTTTGCTTTACAGAATGTGTGTCTGGGGGCGGGGCAGGAGGGGCTAGCATGAGAGGCAGGCTGGACCAGGGTACTGAGAGTATATTCAGGTTATGGGATGCTTTTGCTCCTGGACAGTGGGCTGTGGTTCATGACAGTTGGAGGGTTTATTGTTGGGGAGGTGGAGTGTTGCTGAAGAGCTGCTCAGAGGTGTAATGCACAGGTACGTTACTAGTTTATGAAGTTGTGCAAATGTCTACAAACTTAACCTACAGCAAAACCTTGCCAGAACTGGCAAGCTCTTGCTGGTTTTTTTCCCATTATTTTTGCCTTTTATGCAAAAAAGATTACATTGTTTTGGGTAGACTGGCAAAGCCAGGTATGCCTGTCATCACTGCTCTGGTTAATTTAAGTAAACCACTAGTCTTTTCAGTTGCAAAATTTTTCACAGCAGTTAATATTGCTAACTAAAACTTTGCTCAGTCAAAGTGCAGTCGATGACAGCAATGGCTGAAGGAAAGCAGTCAGGCTACAGACAGCCTTTTGTCAACCTAGAAAACAACGTGTACAGAGGTGAAATTCAGCCCTGGAATCGCCAGCTTTATCTACATGAAGGTGACAAATGCCTTGAGAGCAGGCTAACACCGAGCGAGCTGTGTAATGCTTGCAGTACTCATCCACACTGCTGTCTGGTTGCCTGCTTGCAGCTCAGGCTCAAAGCATTGAGGCTGTGCTGAGGAAGCGCTCAGCTCCGAGCACCTGCTGGTGGTTTGGGCTGTGGCACGTTGATGAAGGAAAGCTTTTACCCATGTTGAGCACGCTCAGGCTCTGCCACTCCAGAGCTCAGTCTAAGTTTGTCTGAGCACATGCTTGCATGTAAGCTCTGGGGATGCTCGGCATGTTTTGACTTATGAACAGGCTTGGAAGTGCACTTGACTGCCCATGTAGACATACCCAGTACGTTGTATTCTAAAGATTGACCTCATTTTAAGGGTCACCTGTGTTGACACTCACTTACTGCTGTCCTTGGCTCTGTTGCAGGGTGTTGTAATATTTACAGCACACAGCACCTCTCGTTACAATTAAGGCCCCGTGAAATAAACAATAAACCTGTTACTGCAGTCACATCTTCACCTGTCATTGACATCTATACTGTATCCCTGTGTAGAGTCTGGTAGTAGTGTGCACCCATCTGGATCATGACACACATGTGTGTGTTATAATTTTTCATCCTTCTGTGCCACATTCAGTGCAATAGTTGTGCTAAGTAACCACCTGAGACTGGGTTTTTGTCTCTAAACATACTTATGCTTTTTTTTCAGCACAAGCCAAGCAAGGCAGAGAGATGCAGAACCAACAACCTGTAGTGGGACTTCGAAGGGAGAACAGTGCACTAACAAGGCCCTTCCATTCACCAGGCATTGTTTTCAGCGTATCCTCTTAACTCTGTTTGGGAGTTGCATTCAGGCATGAAAGCTTAGGTTTTTGCATTGACAAATATGTTTTCACAAAGAAATATCTATTTGTTGGCATCTTATCAACTACTTCTCTTTTAATTTGTCTGTATGATTTGGATGTGTAGAGAGTGAAGAGAAGTAGTTTGCCACTGGTATCTGTCATAGTCACATTGTTTTACTTTGTAAGCTGTATTTAGTAAGTGCAAAAAGTCTTTAGAAAAATTATCTTTCGTGGATGACTTGGTACAAACCACATGGCGTGCAGCCTCATGGCTTTCATACAGTTCTTGGTAACTTGGACTAACTACCTATGAAGGGTTTATGGGAACAAGTTTTTACACATAGTATAAAAAGATGGGTTACGCTGACTAGAAAGATGGAAGTCTTGATACTTTGCATTGTTTAAAGAAGCAGAATAGAAGGAGTCACAGAATCCAAATTCTAGATGAATTCTAGATGAGGAGGAATTTCCAGTGCTGGGGATTTAGAGCCAAGTCTGAAAAGGATGTTAAGAGTCAATGCATGAAGGTCACAGAAAGGAGGGAGCACATTAGATGTGAAGTTTGATTTTTAAGTCTATAAACAGGCAGACTTCTGACCTGGAATACTTAAGAATTCTGCAGACTTTGTCTTTTTTTGTTTTTAGCTGCAGAATTGTTGGCACTTTTATTGGGAGTTACTCCTTTTGTTTGAGCTTTTGGGTTTGGTATTTTAAGTAACTGGTGCTGATCTGATCCAGTTGCTATCAGACTGCACCACCTTTTCAGCCTTTTTGGTTTGCACATGTCTTGTTTTTCTTGCAGGCCCCTTAAAAGTAGTCTGCAGAGCAGACTTTAGGAGAGAGCATCATGGTGTGCAGCTGTGTTTGGGATTTGCCTTATGATTCTGATTTTTTAATTTTTTTAAAGTTTAAGTGGTCTGCTTCTTGGTGTGTGTAGAGCAGAGAAGTCAAGGCTGGTGATTTTGCATTTGTGCCCATTTTTTCCCTCTGCACTTTCTTCTCAATGGAAACAGTCTCTCCTAAAATGAGTAGGCTCTTGTTCTGACCCATCCATCCAAGTCTGGACTGTTCTGCAGGTTTTCCATTTTCTTTGTCCTTTCTTTTGTGTTTTAACATTTTCTGAACATACATAAGTGATGTTGAGGCCTGAAAACCGTTCAAGATGGAAGGAGTGCTTCTAATGTTGTTTGAAAAAACATGATGAAATATCTGTTTGATTTGCACTAAGTCTGGAAACATTTTCACTCCTGCAGGGGATTTTTCTGAAGGAAATCTCAGCAAGCTTACATTTGGATTTACTTGACCTTTCTGTCTGATTGCACATCTTTTTTTCAGAGGAGCAGGAAGGATCTTGAAACTTCTTTGTCTGTGCTCTGAAGAGAAATGCCAAGAATGTACCTTAAAAGATTGAATTAAGAAATACTCTTTCTTTAATGTTTCAGTATGGATTGTCATTAGTCTGTAAGGAAATAGTCCTGTTGACTGCGCTGTTCCAACTGCTACTATTGATCTATTGATTAAGACTCCAGGAAAAGGCGTCTTTTTGCTAAGAACTCATTAGTGAAATGGCTGCTTCCATAAAACTATTTCAATATATAATAAAATCATTAGAGATTCTGCATGAATGCAGTTTTTCACTTTAAAAGTTGGGTTTGAGCTTTACCTAGCTTTGAACTTGAGTAACAAAGTTAAGGTACTCAATAAAAATAGCATCTATGGACAGGTAGAGTTGAAGGCTCTGATCTTCATCAGATCGATAAATCAAAGGGCGTTCCTCCATCATTGCCTCGTGTGTTATTCCTGATGCAGAAATGCACAGATATCTTATTGAACCGTTCTCAGCAGCTCTTCTCAAGTTGCACAGCCAAGTTTGCGGATGGTCAACAGTGCTCTGTGCCAGTTTTTGACATTACACATCAGACACCTCTGTGTGAAGAACATGCCAAAAAAATGGTAAGTACAAAGCCCAAACTGTAATTATTTGTGTATTGGGATGATCAGGACTTTTAGCCCCCATCTTTCTGTGAACTCTTGCTTGACAGCTAGCAAGTTTATGAACTTAAGAGCTCGTTTCCTTTTATTTTTCTTAAGATGGTAAAACATGCCAAACATTCCCAATTAATATAAAGTATGTTGTGAAAATCTTTTACATACTTTTGAAGATATAATAAAGTGTGCGGGAGAATATCTTTCACTGGAGGAAATTTGATTCCTTTCTTGAATTAAGAAATAGAAAATCATTGTGAGAGATACTGTGGTCATTTTATTTGGGTTCACTCCTGGCCCTTGGATCTGAATATAGTATGAGTGTGGTATTGTAAGAACACTGCATTTCAGACAGTCTTAGTACATGGGGCCCAAAATATTTTCTAGAGGAAGTGTAGACAGCAATTACAAGCATACAAATAATGGGTTTGCTGCTTTATTTACCTTTTGGTGACTATTAGAATTTATCTTTAACGTCCTTCAGGGATCTGTGGATCCCAGAGGAAAAGCAGTGGCCTTCTACAAGTTGAGAGAACCCAGAAATTAAGGTTATGTCCTCTGCTTTCCTTTTATGCTTCCCATCTTCCAGAACAAAACTTTTAGGATAATTCACAAACCCACTTCTGTCTTGCCCCTCCTTCAGGGCATTAGGCATAGAACTGCCTTGTTTGTTTGTCTGTTTGTTCTGTTGTTGGGTTGTTGTGGGGTTTTTGTTATTGTTTTTGTCCAGCCTCTCCAATACTTGTGAATTACGGAGATTTCTGGATTAAAAAGTGAGGGTCTGTGCTATACAGATTTGTATGGGGTTTTCTCCCTCTCCCAGGCAGTATGCAGCATGTCTCTCACGGTTTACTTCTGTAGCACATACAATCCTCTGCCATTCCCAGTGTGATGGCAGCTGAAAACTGATGATGGTTTGGTTAATTTTTTTAATTGGTCAATGATTGCTGTTCAAAAGCAATGAGGCCTTAGTTATTTACCCCTATCCTTACCCTAGCCCTACAGTATTAATTCTGTTTCCTCAGTGCTGTCCCGCTTTTATGGCACTGAGTACCTGAGGATGGGTGCTTCAGCTTCATCTTCAGCTGCTTCATGCTGTCTCCGTTATTGCTACCTCACAACAATGTTCTGCCTTTAATACTTACAGGAATGCTGCCAAAGGTTACAGTTTTGCACTGATTTAATTAGGGTTTGCTATGATGATTTTTAAAGTGACACTGCATGATCTATTCAGCATACCTCATAATTTGGTCTATGTGATTTTTGCTATTGAGATCAATGAGGAAGGAGACAGCTTAATTTTTGTAACCTTGCCTGGCTGTAGGTTAGCAGTCTCTCTTGCATTACATATGAATATCTGTGGAATGACCAGGGGAAAAAAGCAGGGAAAATAATACTTGTTCATCATGTGCTCACATTGCTATTGTTTTATTGCCAAAGGACAATTTCTTGAGAGGGGACAGCTCCCGTAAAGTTCAGCACCAGCAGCAGAGGAAACCCAGGAAAAAAACGAAGCCACCTGCACTTACCAAAAAACACAAGAAGAAGAGAAGGCGAGGCCCACGTCGGCCCCAGAAACCCATTCCTCCTGCAGTGCCCCAAGGGAACCTCACCATGCCTGCCAGTGTCTCACTGCCAGTAGAGATGCCCCACATACGGTCAGTGGTAGCCTTGCCCCAGTTTTTCCACTGCTAGCTTGAATGTTGTCAATGAGCACTATAGAAAGGTGTGATGTTGCTGTGCTGCTCAGCATCTGGAGCAGGGCTAGAAATCGCATCTCCATGTGACTGTTGAAAAAAAACCTTAGAGTGGGTCATTTTGGATTTGAGCAATTATTGAGTTTGATGGATAAACTGTCTTGCTTCTGATGCCCATCTTATATATTTAATCAATAGGGTAAGTGTAAGCTTCCTAAAGAAACTTTCTAAAATAATTTTTTCCCTAGATGATGGGTGTGGGGGGAAAGGTGTGGGGAAACACCCATTATGGATGGATATGCATTCATAGTTGTTGTTTGGAGGAATCAGAGTTGCACACTGTGGACTAACTGTACTTTCTGTCCAGGAGCCCCTCCACACCAGAGCTGAGTGCCGATGAGCTGCCTGATGATATCGCCAATGAAATCACAGACATTCCACATGACTTGGAATTGAATCAGGAGGACTTCTCTGATGTCCTGCCGCGGCTGCCCGATGACTTGCAAGATTTTGATTTCTTTGAAGGTACCATTTTATTTTATTTTATGCTAACGTGAATACAGTCAGTGAACTGAAGAAGTGAGTGTTTCTAAAATGCATTTTGATGGGTTGCTTGCTTTCCTACAGAGGCAATAACTTCTTGACAAGGAAGTGTGCATTTGCTCTGTTGTTTGTGAGCTCTGAAGTAAAGCAGACTTTAAGATGACTGGTGTGTGTAGTTCTCTGCTTGCTCTTATAATTACTGCTCTGAAAATCCTAATTGATTTAATATTTTAATAATTCATTTTACATTTTTACTGCCTGTCAGTGTTGCAGTTTAATCAAGAGTATTCTCAGTAATGGCATCTTTCTGCCATTGAGTGGGGCCAGAATCACAGTCAATGTTGGCCTTTGATAAGAGGAGAAGAGAGTGAGGATAAAAATCTTTAAATACATTTTTGAAACCAGCTTTTGATCAGAACTGTGCCTGAATTTCTGGATTCTAAAGCTCAGTACTTATCACAGATAATAAAGAAATTAGAACAGCCCAGAGCTGGAGTATGTGATTTCTTTGGTCATTTTCTGATATGATATGACATGACATCAGGCTGTGTTTTAACCTAAATTATACTGACTGTGTAAATTTTAGGTCCAGACTGTAATGTGGTAAGTAGAGGGGAGTTTGTGGACTATTTGTGTTATTGCAGGTTTGAAAAAAATCTTATTTAAGCATTTTACTTTAAGTCTAGTGAGTTTGGGAGGCATCTTTTATTGTAGTATGTGGGAGAGGAGGGCAGAGAGAATGAATTCCATTGATGAGGAAGGTGTAATTTCTCGTTTTTCTTTACCTTGCTTACCTAAGTGAACACTGGTGACTGAAATTTTCTGTGTACTGCAAGCCATTCGGGAAGGTTATCATACACTGCAGCTCTGTACTGAACTGTCTGTACTTCTGCATCCTTAGAGTGCCAGTGCCAGGCTCACCTGAGAGGAGTGTGCTAACTTCTGGTGTCCCTGTTTCTGCAGGTAAAAATGGAGATCTCCTTCCGACTACAGAAGAGGCTGAAGAACTGGAACGGGCCCTACAGGCTGTAACTTCTCTTGAGTGCCTGAGTACCATTGGAGTACTTACACAGACAGATGGTGTGCCAGTTCAGGAGCTGTCAGATAGAGGGATAGGGGTATTCTCTACAGGTGCTGGAGCTCCAGGAATGCAGTCCTTGAGTCGAGAGGTTAACACGGATCTGGGGGAGCTGTTGAATGGGCGTATAGTACATGATAATTTCTCCGGTCTGGAGCTGGATGAGAACTTGCTCCGTTCTGCTACCTTGTCCAACCCACCTACGCCCCTGGCAGGGCAGATCCAGGGGCAATTCTCAGCCCCAGCCAACGTCGGCCTTACTTCTGCCACTCTCATAAGCCAGAGTGGCCTTGGGGAGAGAGCCTTCCCAGGACAGTTTCATGGACTTCATGATGGCAGCCATGCCTCCCAGAGGCCCCACCCTGCCCAGCTGCTGAGCAAGGCAGATGACCTGATCACCTCACGACAGCAATACAGCAGTGACCATTCACACTCCTCACCCCATGGAAGCCATTATGATAGTGAGCATGTGCCGTCTCCCTACAGTGACCATATCACATCCCCTCACACCACATCCTTTTCTGGTGATAACTTGGCAGCTACCTTCTCAGCAGAGATGCCCATGATGGCACAGCACTTGCTCCCAACTCAGCTGGATGTGCCACTTAGCGGGGTGGTCAACCCCAGAACTCACTGGGGAAATCTTCCTGTCAATCTTGGGGACCCCTCTCCGTTTAGCAACCTTCTTGGTGCAGATGGACACCTCCTGTCCACCTCCCTGTCCACACCACCTACCACCTCGCACTCAGAGACCACACAGCCTGCCTTCGCCACTGTGACCCCCAACAGCTCCAGTGTGCTTCCGGGGTTACCGCAGACCAGTTTTAGTGGCATGGGTCCTGCCTCTGCTGAACTCATGGCCTCCACCTCCCCTAAACAACAGCTCCCTCAGTTCAGCGCAGCCTTCGGGCACCAGCTGAGCTCCCACAGTGGCATCCCCAAGGACCTGCAGCCCAGCCACAGCTCCATAGCTCCTCCCACGGGCTTCGCAGTGACCGGTGCCACCGCTACCAGTACCAATAACGCATCCGCGCCCTTCACCACCTCCAACTGAGCTTGTCTGCCTCGCTCTGTGCAGGTAGATGGGGGACCTGTGTTTTCTATCTTTCCTTTTTTCCTTTTTCTTTATTTTTTCTGTCCTCCCTTCCCTTTTTTTTAAGAGGGGGTTAAGAAGAAAACCCCTGCTTCAGTACTGACCAGGGTTAGCCCTCTGTGAACCTTGCTGTAGCGTTCACATGTGCTTGTTACGCACCGGTGCTCATTTATTGCAGGCAGGTTTACCGTTCCCCAATAATTCCTTAAGGATACAGTACAGTTACTGGATGTAATTGATCTTAGCAGTAAGACCTAGAAATGGGAAAGATACCTCAGATTACTGATGCATGTTACTGTTTCCTAGGGTTCGGATCAGTGCTTGCCATCCCATTAGCATCTGGTAGAAAGTTTTCCAGTGGGCAGAAGTCCTTTGATTTTTTTTTTTTGTTTGTTTGTTTTTATTATTTACTTTTTTCCCCGAAGGTAGCATCTGGCATAGAAAACTTGGCTGCACACATTGATTTGAGAATGGTGCACTGAAGTCCTAAATCAAGATCATGGTTCAAGGATGAGTTTGGAAGTTTCTTGAAATAGTCTCTTGACCTCCTCTGTGTGCGTGTGTGTGTTTGGGGTGCAGGGAGCAGCAGTTCCTTTTCTTCTTCTGGTGAAGAAGTAGGAGTTGTCCCCTTCCAGAACTGGTCACTGTTCTTACTGCATGCTGATTTTTGTTTTTTTATTATGATGATTTTTAATTCATTGAGCAGCAAGGGGATCAGTTGACTGGTTGCCCAGAATCTGAAGGCTGATACGAAGTTAGCCAAGGGAAAAAAAACCCAAACCGGAAGGATTGAAATAGATCATGGATTACTGAAGATTCCTGTACAGAAATTCCCTCCCTTGCTGAATTACTGTGGCCTTGTAGCATTGATGATTTGCCTTTTCAAAGTGTGGCTTTGTCCAAAACTCCTTGTCTGACAGGTTGACAGGTATTTCCCAGCTGAAACTGGAAGAATTTGGTTGGTATTCTGCCCATCCACACAAGTCTAGGTCAGACCCTTTGGTAAGTTTCAAATGGATGCATTTCTAGCTACTGAGACTTTCTTGGATAGTATTTTCCCCCCTGGGAGTCATATAGTTTTTTTGACACTTCTAGGGTTTGATGCTCTGTATGGGAAGTTGAATGTACGTAAGGAACTAGCAGGTACCTATCAGCAGTCTTGGCTAACCAAAAGAGAAATCACTAAAGCAAAATAGATAAGAATTCCTTCTGTCTGCAGGACAGTTTTACTGCCCACCTGCTAAAGATAGTATTCAGACTCTTTGGTAGTAATTTCAGTTCTTAAAGAAAGGAGTCCACTAGCTTTTAGATTTTTTTTTTTTTTTTTAATTAAATGAAATAATTTTTTTAAAATCTAATTTTAATTTTTTAAATGTTTTTTAATCCAAGAGATAACAGCAGCAGAAATTCTGAGGTGTTTATTTGCATCTTCTTATCAGGAAGGGAAAAAGGGAATTTGTTTGTGACTTCATAGGGCTCAAACTGTACTCTGACTTTGACTGTAACAGTAGCTCCTACTTAATATAACAAGTCTCTACTCTTCTTGGTTTGTTTCTGAGATGCAGATGAGAGAGAACAGAAAATCCCACATTTCAGTCTCTTACTGTACAAGAAAGATTTCATTCTAACTTACAGTAAAACTTCCTACCTGTATGTATTCTAGTCTAATTCAGGAAATTAAGATATACCAAGCACATGTAATACAGAGGCCTAATAAATTATGTGAGCAAGGGTTCATTGAATGGAATTTAGTTGCTATAGAAATTCATTTTGTTAGCAGTCAGGCCCACACCAAAATCTCTGACCCAAACCTCTCCTTCCATCTTGCTAAGGAACAGAATTTAAATGGGATAGGTCTTGTGTCTTCTTACTATTGTAGCAATCATACTATCCCTCTTTTCTTGAAAGATTTGTTCTCCTTAAACATAAAGGAGTATGGATGATGCATATGTCCTTTTCTGAAATTGCAAGTGTATGTGGGTGGAGGAAACAAAAATTATTTTCATGCTTCTGTTGTTATGAAGTCCTTATTTCATACTTGGTAAAATAGATCTTAATAATATAAGCCGAATATTTTTAAGTGGTGATTTAAATATGTTTGTAACATTTAAATGTTTTTAAATCATGTAAAAAGTTGAATTGAAGCCTATGAAATCCTGCTTGTGATTGTCCTGCTGATTGAGGAATGCCCAGTGGTATTGTGAAATGAGGCAAATCTGACAAGGCATTTATTTATTTTTGTATTATGTTCCCCATACTTTGTTGAGGAGACAACTGTTTGGTTTGCAAATAATTTTCATTGTGTCCATATACCTTCTTCAATGTGTTTGGATGACTGGCGGAAAAAGAGTGGAGAACTAGTATACCAAATGGTTAATTCTTTAATCTGCTTGTGTATTCATGTCATTTTAGAGGATGTTAATTTCTATAAATTGGTTTCAGGACTTCGGTCTTGAAATAGTTCTTGTGCCCATCAAACTCTTTAATGAAGCTGCAGCTAGTGCAGAGTATATTTGCCCCACATCACATTTCTCTTTCTTAGCGAATGCCAGGGGGGAAGGGAGGAGAGGAACTGAGAGCCAAGTTCTGCTTGCTCGTGTTGCTATAAACTACAGAGGAGCTCTTTGGTCTAAGGTCACTGTGAGTTTGTACTGGTCTAACTCAGAACAGAACCCAGCTCCTAATCTGAGCATTGATCTAGACAGGGAATTTCAAAAGCTGACAAAGCCATGCAGGTCTGTAATTCCCATTTGAAATAAATGGCTGTTACGTACCTGCATTCCTTTAAGACAGCCTAGGATATCAACTCTCTTCCCCTGCTTAGACTTCAATTTTTGTATATCCCTGGATGACTCTTCCCTGAAAAGTGACTACATAACATTTTTCAATGAGCAAACTAAGTTTGCAATAAAGCTGCACTTTTAAAAATAAACTTCGGTTTGTATACATTTGAAATAGGAATCCCTCTGTCCTGTCTGACACAGTTCTGAAATGGGCCACCACTCTTGCCTTTTCCTGGTTCACCTCCCGTCTTTTCACTGCTGCCGATTTCATGGTTACAGCCTACCAAGCAGTTACGGGTCTTGATCTTAGCTTTACAAGGTGGATCATTCCAGGTGGGCTTCTATACCCACACAACCTCTTGACTTCAGTGAATCAGTGTCTTACTGTTGGATGTGAGAGATCCAATCCAAGAGGTATGTGCAGCCAGAGATGTTTCACACCTCTTCCTCTGGGAAATACTGTGGGTCTGGTTAAGACAGTCCTCGAGGCTGATATTTATTGTGGTTCCCGGGTAGAATCCATGCTCTCTTGCAAAGGTTTTTAAGTATCTCCTCGTATAGCAATTAGCACTCTAATCACCCTTTCACCAAAGAGCCAGTGTAGCAATTTCAGTCCATTGATTTGTGATGGTCAATACCTGTCATGCCCTCTACGTGTTAACAAATGGAATAAAGCTAGTTGAACCTAAAAGTTAATTTCTTTACAGAAGATTTGAGTTTTAAAGAATTGAAAAAAAATTAGGCTTAGAATAAAATACCTGTAACATAATTTTTTGTAATAATAGCACCTCAATTAGTCTTTATACAAAAGTACTTAACACAAGATGAACTCTGGCAGTGTACAGAGAGGCTCCTCAGGAACAGCCTCATGCTGGTCTGGTGCGTAAGACATTCTGTAAGACACACTTTGAAGTTTCCTTTCACTTAAGAAGACTTTATGCCAAGTTTGAGGGGAGCCATATGCACTGAGATACCTCAAAGTTGATTTATTCTTCGGCCTCGTAGTTACTATGACACAAGAAGATGTATGCATGATGCAAGAAGGTGGAAAAGATGCATCATTTTGTCTCCTCCTGCATTCCAGTTCCTCCAGGTTCTTGCTCAGTTCCATTCTCATTAGTAGCATGCTTCTCTCTATGGCTGGGAATAAAGGCTTTAAATCAATAATGCTGAGAGGTAGTGCAGTTGCAGGTCTGCCTCAGACATTGTGGAGAAGATGGCAACAGCTAGATTTCCCACTTCATTCAGCAGGTTAGTGAAATGAGGATTTGCAGTTCTCATTTGGACAGCATTGGAAGGCCCTGAGAAGCTTGTTGCCTGCTAGGCAAAAATCAGAGATGGTATTGGAAGTACAAATGCAAGGAGAAAAATGTGCAAGGAGAGTCATCCATAATAGCAAAAAGAAGCCAAGGGAAGTAGCTTTTGATTTTATTGTTTTTTAGAGGGAGATGGGTAGTAGAAAAATTGGGAAGTTCTGTCGTGAGCTGTTGGGCAGTGTGATGCCACTGGCTTCAGGGGCATGACCAAGGCGAAGGGCCTAGGATTGAACCTGCAAACCAGTAGCCAAGTTCAGTTTGAAGCTTCATTTTGCTATAACCACGTCTAAATACAATCTGGGATTGGATCTGCTTGCCAGGAAGGTCTCAGGACAGAGTACACTGAGCAGTGGACAGGTGTCTTCCCTGAGAAGCTGTCCCTGGTGGTTGTATACACATGTTGTTAGTCTGCTTCCAAGCCCCAGCTCCTCCCTGAGCTGCTGCAGCATCATGGCTGCTGCATTTCCCTGGGGCATTCGAAAGGCTCCAAGGGTATTTCTCCCTGTCTTTGTGCTGCAGTGACTTAAATCCAGTGGTGAATTCTCCAACAGGATGAGCCTTTGGGCAGGGAGGATGGAAAAATTTTTAGAAGAGCCAGCTACCTGTAATTGAATCTTTCAAGACTTGTAGGGTGCAGGGATGGTGGCAAGAGGTGCTTTCAGCAGATGAAGAATAGAAAACTTAACCTGCGGTGATCTCCTGCAGCGAGGCATTTGGGTGTCTGGGCAGCATCCCTGCTGGGGTGTTTCCTTTTGCTTTTGTATGTTTACCGTTACATGTGAAGGAGTCTCCTGTGTAGGCGTGTTACAAGGTCTGGTCGTGGTGGAAGTATTAACTGAAGGAATAGTTTGGGGCTAATATGCTGATCAGGTCTTTAGGTCTTTCTGATCTTCTGGTCACAAGGTGTTTCTGGTTTCGTGGGTAACATTTAGTGACGGGTTGTTGTGCGCTGCTTCTCATACCTCCTTTATTTCCTTCCTCTCTACATTCTTCATCATTCTTTCTTTTGTTCTCCTATTCTCAGATACTTCTCCAGTGTAAGTAATGCTAATCAGTAAGTCTTCCGTGGTCCTGAGCAAATCTGACTGTAAAATGAAAAGGAGGAGAGATTCCTGCAATTCATAATGTACATTTTGGATGCTAGAATGACAGTGCAATAGATCAAAGTATTTCTCAGATCAGCAAGTAAGATGATGTTTCACAGCACGCTAATATGTCATGAACTAGATGCTGAGAGTACAACACGGGAGTGTATATGCTAGCAGTGAATGCGCAGGTGTTTTTAGCAAGAGTTTACCTTCTCACAGGTTCCTCTTCTTTTGAGAAGTTCATCGGTAGGAAGTCACAAAGAAAATTTTAAATTATTCTTTTTAATACCTGCAAGCACAAATAAGAGTAAGGAGGGTTGGTGGAAAAAAAAAAAAATCTGTATTTATGTTCACTAAACTTAAACTTGGACTTTAGGAGAGGTCTGGTCATGAGAGACCTTAGCTCTATCAGGTGAAGTAAAACAACAGTGACTGTTTTGGGACCTTCTCCCTTTGCTGTTCTGCTGTGCTACTTTTTGTGGTTGTTGGGTTCTTTGCTCTCCCCTGTTTTATTCTGCTTTCACGTACTCCTTCTCTGGCTACTATGGAATAAGGGAGTGGAAGCATGAAAGGAGAAAGAGGGCTTGGCCGTAGATCGCCAGCAATAGTTGGATAAGGCTCTCTTTGTGTCTCCCTGAAATAAGTGTTGGCACCTTTTCAGTCTACTCTGGCTCATAGAATTCAGATTGGAAGTGAACAGGATGAAACTTGGGCTTGTGACCTTAAAACTGTATTTACTCGATGTAGAAAAATGCATTCTTCCTACTCCTTCCCCTTGCTAGTCCCCCAAACACACACACAGCGAGATGTCCAGAGTACCAGCGTATCGACCGCATACGCGTACTGAACTTGATCCAGTAATGCTAATGTTTTACCTGCTTTCTGTCGTCGTCAGCCAGTGCCCACAGAGGTGAACTCTGGATAGGTAACATTCCCAGATATCCTCTGGAAAACTTTAACTTTGGTGCAGATTGCTCTGATGTAGCTGACTGCGATGGCGTTGGCTTCTACCTTGGAGTGGACTGATTTACCCTGAAATGACTCTCTAACCTGCATCTTAAACAGTGTAGTTGGCTCCGGTGCAACTAGATTCATTCTGAAGTGACGGAGAGCTCGATTCTCACGCAAAATAGCTACATCCTACCAGAAGGGGTTGAACCAGTTTCTCTGAACAGTGATGACCTTCACTGTACAGTTTTGGGTATGTCTCAGGGATTCCTTGTGGAAATAAGGGCAGTTAACAAAAAAAAAAAGTAAATAGTTTTAAAAGTAAATAATAATTTAAGGTAGAGCGTCACCTAAGTGAGAGCGCAAGAAGGAGAAATCTTTGTTCAGTTTTATAGTCCACGGTGTCTGGCTTAGGGACTCTTTCTCTTCTCGGGGCTCTCATCTCAAGTTCAACGTACAGAATCTTTTTCATCACGCTCAGCTTTAAACTTTTTATTTAAAGATACCCTTCCCCAATGAGCTTTCAGAATACTTATTGTAGATTTTAAGAGAAATGGTATATTAATTTATGCTATTAACATCACCTCATAAATTATAAGTTTTATACTAAAGCTGTATTGAGTGTAATGAATTATGTTGCATATGTGTTTTTAATAGCTATAAAATTATATACAAGCTTTTTTGGAAAAACAAACTAGTGAAGCACCTTTTTACACTGGATCTTTGCCGTGTCAAGGTGTACAGCTATTCTTTGCTACCTTGCAGATATCTATATCTATATATAGATATATATATATAAATAAAATAAAATGGTATCCTGTATCAACAAAGCATAGAACTCTTTTTAACCCTTATATTACTGTTCCTATAACTCTTTTTAAATTTTATTTTGAGTGTTACATTCTGCAATAATTTATCTGTGGTTTGTACCTATGATTAGAAATTTAGTTACAGGGTAAATAGATCAAATTAAAAAAATCCAACTACTGTAGCTGGAAGTTGTGAACCAAGTTTGTAAGACCTTTTCTTTTTCTTTTCTTTTTTAATGTATTTATTTCCAGTTAGCTCTGTGAGTTGGAATTTGAAAAGTCAGAACGTTAGGAATCTACAGTGTCTTATTTGGGAATTTTTCCCCTCCTTTCCTCACAAAGGAATTCCCACTGTGACTTATAAATAGAATTAGACTGCTTGTGTGCATGTATGTATTATATATACACACAAAAAATATGCATTGGGGGGGGATGTATGTGCGATACGAATGTGTATATTGTATGTAGGTCATAGTTTTGTAAAGAGAAAAGTAGTTGAGAGGTGATGGAATGTATTGTAGAAATGTGATTATTTAGTAGGGGGTTGTTATGTCCTCACTGTTGTATAAATAACTGAAACTCTCTACTACATAATCTTCTGTTATAAGGCTAACTCTGATATCATGTCAATTTTACTGTTTTTTTTAAATGAGTTGCATTGAGCCCTGTTTAAAATGCCATGAAAATACCAAGCTCCCAAAGACAGCCTTTAAATAAAACAAATGGGGGAGGAGGAGGGATGGGAGAAATGAGTGATATTTTTCAGGAGAAATTGAAATGGGAAAGTCTGCATTTGGTGGGATGGGGAGACATGGGAATTGCTGTACCTTTGCAAACTAATACCTGAATTTCCTGTGGTCTGACTTGGAAAATGTTGTCAATCAGTTCAAATTAGGTTGTGAGGGGCACTGTTTGTGGGGTCATCTCCGTTCTGTAAAAGGATCTTGTCTTCAAAGTAGATTCTTTTCTTCCCTGAGGGTCTTGGCGTGTCTTGATTTTGCCCCAAAATTGCTGTTGTGGGATTGCAGAGCAAAATACAATTTCAATCCAAGGAGTTTCACTCGTGCTGTGAAATTCTGAATTTAATTATGGCCACTTAACTCTTTTTTCATAATTGGAGAAGGAAGATTTCCTTTATGGGTGTTCTCACTTGAAACTGTGAGAAGTCAGAAACATTCTTACAGATTGGCTTACTCTTCATACTGTTCTATTTAGGCTGGAGAAAGTAACCTAATTGTTATTTATTCATACAGTATCACTTTTAACGATGATGATCCTGGTGACTTTAAAAATCTGTTTAGAAAAATCAGAGCTTCCAATGTTGCACAGACATTTGAATTTTTGAAGGCTTTTTTTTTTTTTAAGCAGTTGCAAATCAAATCTTAATTTTCAAATTATTTTTTATATATCCCCCTCCTTATCAGTATGTTGATATCCCCCAGGCATCCCTCCCCCTTTCTCCCTCCCCGCAATTTGTTTCTGGCACATATGCATACAAGTGAAAGGGCAGGGAGGTGGAATTTGTCAGAGGCCTTTCCTTCTGCTTATTTGGTGGTAATGGGAGTTAGCAGCATAATTCTTTATGCCTTTACGGGGAAGAATAGACCCATTTTTGTGTATACCTGTACAGAGAGATATATCTGTATATGAGATGTTGGTAGCACTTTGCTGAATGTGGACTTGCCCTCATGATGTACAATAAATACGTATGAATGCAATCAATCTAAATCTATATATACATGCATACAGATGTATAGATGGAATATATGTTGTATCACACACATGTACATTAGTTGTAACATGAGTAAGTGTGTGAGCTAAAGAGAGAGACTCCACGTAACGTATGTGTAACAGGTAAGCACTTGTGCCAAACAAGGTTGTTTTAAGTCTTCTGAGGGATTTGGATGACGTCAATGACTGATCTGAGCTTGGTCACCATTGATTTGTGTTACCTCAGCCCTCACAGTGGAGTTCCCTTGGTACGTCTCTGCTTTTGTTTATCCTGTGTGAATACTCATTGAGGCCTCTTGCAATGCCAACCTCTTCTGCTTCTCTGCTCCATCGCCTCCATTCCAGCTCCTCCTCCTCCTCCCTGCATTTCTACAGTTTCTCTTGCTAACAGCAGTCAGCTTTAATGGCCCAATCCAGCTCTGCCTACGCATTAGGGAAATGCTCTTGGTGACTGCAGTGGCAGCTGAATTGGGCCCTGACCACTTGCTTGAACTTACGCAGAATTTCCCAGCTATTCAATTGTGCTTGAGTACGACTGCAATTGATTTGCAGATGAACACAAACTTTTCTCAGAACCTGATGCAAAGCTTCCTAGCACAGTAAAAGGTGAACGCAGTATCGTATTTGAGAGGCAAGTGTTCAAAATGAGAAAAATGCACCCACTGAAAATCATCTTCAATTTTCAGCCCCAGGGAGAACAAGGGGGTTTGGTTGGTGTTCCCCATAATGCAGGCAGTAAGCAGAAGGCAGCCCTCTGCTCTGCTGTGAGCAGTGGGGTTGTCATCAAACATACCAAGAGGAACACAGCTCGTTACATTTTACCATTAAACAGGTTTTAAAATGAGCTGCAGAGTTGGCCATTAACATGCTAGCACTTTGCATCTAATTGTGTATCGAATGATCTTGCTCATGCAAGTAAATTGTGGTTTTAAGTATTTTATTTTCTGTTTTCTGGCTAAATGGAGCTTCTATATCCTTTTAGCAGAAAGCAGCTGTCAGAAACCTGCTCAGTCACATTTAAGCACTGTTGAAAATCCTGGCTAACTTTAGGCTTCAGTTTCAATGGAGAATGCTGCTCCAATTCTGTCATCGAGCCGTACTGCATTCCACATTTTCAGTATGGGTATGGCACAATTTTTCTTGGCCCCAATTCAGCCCTGGAATTTTGTCTTCCTTGCATTTCTATTAGAAAAAGGTAACTGGTGTGCTGTTCCATCTGAGCTTTCATGCAATCATACACAAGGATTTCTATAATACATATGTTCGGGCGTGTGTATGGGTATGTCTGTGTACTGTGTGTGTATAATACATATTTATACGCACACATATATTACGCTATTTCAGTTTATGTATGTGGAGAACGTACCTGTTGGTTCTCTCCTGATATATACTCATGCATACGTATATTAAATATGTATATAGATTGTAGATGTCCTGCATATACGCATGTATATGTTATGAACCTTGGTTGGCAATTTTTTTCCCACTTTTTGCAAATTGCTGTCCTTTATGACATATTTTCACTGAAGCTGCATTATATAGAAGAAATGGAGAAATGTGTTATCAAAGTTTTATTTTAAAAAGGAGACTCTTAATTATCTAAAGCCATTTGTAATTGTCTTTTGAATTTTTGCTAGAAGGGTTGTTATTATTGAAAAAGAAGGAAAAAAAAAAAGAAAAAAGAGAAAACAAAAAACCAAAAGCAAGCAGACAAGCCCTTACTCCCACCATCACCTGGACAGGTGGACATAAGAAAGAGGTGGAAACACAAGTTTCTAGGTTTTTGTTTCTTTCAGGGGTTTCTGAGGCATACTGTACTGTGTTCTGCCCCATCCCCCCTTTTGTCCAATTATAATTAATGATTCATGGTTTCTTTTACACAGCTTTTCCCCTCATTACTTTACTTTCGTAAATCATTATTCACCTCCTACATTCAATAGTGCTGATATCACTAAGGAGATTTCATGTCCTTTTGTCCTTTCCAGGAGAAATACCAGTGCATCACTGTTGTGTTACATTTTAACATACTTTGTGGAGGATGGATGTTTTTATTGAAGATGTCTGTAACAAGTCTTTAACTTATTTAATGTGAGAAGCCTTCATTGGAATCTAGCGCTTGTTTGTTTCCAACGAGTTTCTGCAACTGTTTTTTCACCGACATGTTAAGTAGTCCCCTTCTTATTTGATGCCTGAGGTTTTATGGTTTGGGTTCGTTGTTGTGGGTTTGATTTTTGGCTTTTTTTTTTTCCTCTCCGATTCCCAAAAATGTTTCTCTGCAAGTGGAGCAAAACAGATGTCAGAATCTCAACCAATATCCTTTTTGCAGTTAAGGGGTAAATATCTTTATCCTAGATTTAATAAACAGAAGGTGGCAAATGGACAATCTGAAGTGCTTAGAGGGAATGCTCACTATTTTTAAGGCTGTCTCAGAGAAGTTTGTGTTTGGTGTCATTTTAAAAGTAGCTTGATCACGCTTTGATATCAGAAACAGCCTTGTAACATGGAGCCTCGTACAGTTGTTTGGCCACTAGAGTTTAAAATGTAAACAAGTTGCAGTGGGAAAGCAAAGGTGAGGCAGTGTATTTTGAACCAGTGAATTGTAGCTTGCAAACGTACCTGATTTTGGAGTAACTGCATGGTAGCAAGGATTAGCAGTCTCTTACACCCCTTTCTTCTTCCCTCTCATCCCTGACACATGTGTTCAGCATACCGTACATTGGGAAAAATAAACAACTTACTCCAGCAACGTTAAATCCCCTTAATGACTGCTTAAAGGGAACATACAAACTTGCATTGCTGCATCCCGTCTCATGGTATTAGCTGGAAGACTAGCTAATACGCACAAAAAGCCCAGTCCAGGTTGCTTCTACCGATGTGTTGCTTTCGGAGAGTGTGGTGTGTGGGGATGCCCAAGAAGAAGGGTCCCTTCCGGCGGGGTCCCCGGCAGCGATAGCAACTCACACTAGTGCTTCTAGTGCTGGAGGCTCACGGACAGCATTCCAGGGGCGGGTAGGAAAGCTCATGTTTGTACTTTCCCTTTAAATAGGAAAGGTTGGCTCACATGTTCCTCATACTTCTCAATGAATGTACTGTATTACCATTTAAAAAAAAAAATCAATGAAATGATAATAGATTGGTCTCCTTTTGTTATCTGGTCCTTGTTTAATTTGTTTAAGGGTTTTTGTATACAAAAGTTTACATTTTTATGTATATTTTTCTTGTGTAAAAACTGATGTAATATGTGTATAAAACACTGTATGTATTATCTGTATATAGTGTGACAAAATGATTTTCTTTCTTTCTTTTGGATGTATTAATAAATCTTGCTGTGAAGTAGATGTGTTTACTATGATGAAACCCTCTTCTCCAAGCCATTTTGCTAAGTCCAAGATGTATGGAATATTGCCCAGGCTGAAATCTAATCCATAAAGTGGTTTCTTTTTTCCTTTAAGACATATCCTAAGTACAGTTATTAAACTGTCCTTTGCTTAGATAGCTGTAGAGTCTGATTCTGCTCTTGCTTATTCTCTATTGCTTTCTAATGACATTAGCTAATTAGTTTTGCAAACAAACTGGGGTCTTCAGTCTCAGTCCTGATTCTAATTACAGTGCTTTCTAGCTCTGGGTCACTGGCCTGGAGACCAGATCCTTTTCATCTTGTTTTCTGGTTTGAGTTTGCAGAACTGGACTTGAAATATAATTTAAGGGGTATAGAATAGAATTTTGTCTTACGTGTTCTTGTGTTTTCTGAGATTTAAAAAATATATACCTGCTTCATCACCGAAACTGGTAAGTTGGAGTTTGGCGTTATTTTGAGGATTAGCAAAGTGACGGGCCCCGGTCAGCTCTCGGGCAGGATTGCGAGGCCAGGGAATGCCTGTGGTGACTACCTGGAACAGTAAGACGCTGGGAATCACTGCTGCCTTGTTTGGACACAGGCAGCTGGGCACTGGGGAAAAGCTGCCATTCCCACCACGCTGCTGCGACTGGTGTGGCTTTCCCACGGTAGCATGAAGTGTGTCCTCTGTTTGGACAGCTCTACGCCTCGGACACTTTACTGTAAGTTGGTGGTTGCTGCATCTTCCTCTCATTTGTTTTGTGAAGTCTTCCCCTTTGCTTTCTGACACGAGAGCATGTGCTACAACTGTGCCTGCTTTGCTAGTCTCCATCTCCAATGTGTTTGAGGTCATGACTTGCAAGGAAAAGCAGTTGTATCCTAGGTGAGACCATCTTCCAGGTTCTGGTTTTCATAACCAGTCTCACTTAAGGCTGCCCTGATCATCAGAATGACTATCAGCAGAGATTGATGAGAAGGGGATTCAGTAATTTGACTTTTCTTTTTAATGAGCAGTGGCCCAGCCATTCTAGACAGTGTAATTAGAGCTGCATTTCAGTGCCTGATTGTAATTCAGGCCGAGGGATAAGCAGTGACAGCAAATGACATAGTCTTCCATGCTCACACATGCTGCAAGGGTTTTGGGGCAAAGGACGGAACTGGTTTGTGCTTTAATGTCTTGCCTTCCTGGGTGATAGGAGTACACCGAAAGTGCTGTATCCAGACATTTGTCAAGACAGAGCGATGACAGGAACGCTCAGATGCTTGAAGTAAACAACAGGAGAGTCCAGCAGCATAAGTTCAATCCAATGTGGCTGGAGAAAATCTGCCTCAAGCTTGTCCATTCTAGGGAATTTTCAAGGTTATGGGCCTGAGACATTTGGACATGATAGGGGTAATAGTGATGAGGGAGTTCTGGGCTGTTATTGACGCAGTTCTGGCTATGCGTGTGGGTGTCACAAAGTTGATACTAAAAAGCGCTCCTGTCTCAAGTAACACTCAAAGTCAAAATGGTGAGAGGTGAAGGAATTGATTGTTATGGAGAAAATGGTTGTTAAAAATATGCTTTTAACAAAGCAGCAAAAGTAAGTTGCTATCTGGTGTAAGATTTGAGGCTGTGATGAGGAGTAAGAAGGTGGAAGTTAGGAAAATGTGGGCTCTCCCTTGGGGATAACTCCCTGGCAGAAGCCGAGTTGCCTGGTTGGGTCCCCAGCTGGGGGTTCTCCAGGGTGGGCTTGCCAAGAGATGGGCCAAGACTCCTCCGCTGACTAAGGCAGAGACCAACTGAATCACCTGTGGGTTTGTTTTTTTTTTTCCAGCCTTTCCATGAACAACAAAGAAACACTGCTCTTAGAAAATGATTGCCTGGCGCTCAGCCTGTAACTTTACAAAAACAACCGGTCATTGTTCTAGTGCCACATTTCAAAACACAAACAGGTTTTGTTTGAAGTATCAATTCAGGAAGAATGTGGTACATCTTTCTTTGTATTTTGACAGTCCTCTTGAACTCCAACAGTAGCCTTTTAATAGTTGACAGTTATTTTCTCAGGCAAGCTCATCTAGTTTCTACTTGAAAAGCCGGTGACATTTTGTTACAAGAGCAAGTGTTGCTCTTGTATTCGGTGAAGCAATTGGAAGGAGAAAACTTTATTAAATTTGGAAGCTGGCCTCCTGCAGAGGTAAGACAACCTTGCTTTCTCCCTGCATAGTCATGGGCAATTGTCCATGGGGGGGCCATCTTCCACACTCCCCCCTAGAGCCTACCCCCCAAGTGCAGGGCTGGTACTCTGCAGCTGTCAGGTCTAAATTGGAGATGTAAGATGCATGTTTTAAGGGGCTAAGAGGTGGTTGCTGTGTTTACTGGCATGAGTTTAAGCCCAGGAGTGGCTGCCTTGGTTTACTGCTGTTGCTAATTTATGACTTGTGGAAGGTGCCAACGAAGAGTCTTGGTATCACTGAATCAAGTAAGAAAATTGAAGTGGTGTGCTAAAAATGTCCCTGAAAGCAAAGTAGCTTTCATATTCATATACATTCTTGTGCTTCTATGGGGGACCAGTGCTACAAACTTTCTATGCCTGCATCCAAGAACTCCTTTGACAGATGTCCTTAGGACCAAGAGGCTTGCATGTCCTCTTCACCCCTCACATCTAGCTTGCAATGGCTGCTGTAGCCACCAGTGTGGAGGGGAGTCCTGTAACGTGAACTCAGTCTGGCACTGCTGCCTGTTTCTGCTCAGCTTGTGTGCCAGCTTCAGGTTCTTGATAGTTAAAATTTAAAATGTAAAGCCTTCCCTTTCATGCTGTGCAACTCTTGGTGGAAGAAACCCCCTGTAACCAGCCTGCAGCTGTCCCAGGGTGCTCTTGTGAACCTGACCTAGAGGCCCTCTACTGTGGTGCCTAGCAGAAAGCTGATGCTGGGTAAGCTGCTGATATAGATGTAAATGCTGTCACGCTGGTCAATATTTTCTCACAGCTCCCTTGTCTTCTGCAAGCTCACCATTCCTGGGAGGGTGTCCATACTCCAGCCACTTCCAGCTTCCCCACTTGCAGCCACGTTGGATGCAATGGCCTTCACAGCAGGCAAGAACACTCTGATGAGAGGGAGGGGAGAGCGTCTTCCGAGCTGCAGACCAGTCCTGTGAGCCCACACGGCGACCCCAGGGAGGCCAGTAAGGCTTGCGAGGAGCACAACGGGCATCTGATGCGGCACCCTCTCCTGTCTCTGTAAGTCCTTCATCAAAGCATCTCAGTGGTACCTGGTAAAACAGGGTATGGCTCATGCTAAAAAGAATTTCACAGATGCAAAAAAAAAATCTTGATTTCTCTTGGTTTCTAAGTGTGTTGGAACATTTCTCTTCAGGCTGTGGATTTCTTGCATTGAGGCTTTGCATGTGCCGGGAGCAGCAGTGCTCGTGGAAAAAATGCATTGGGCCCAAACTCCAACTGAAGGGGTAATAGCATCAACCTTGCCTCACCCAGCTGGTACCAAAGCATTGGCAGGAATAAAGAGCCTGGTTTATGTCAGATTTTGGCCAGTACTCTGCCAAAGTTTGATTTTGAGCTGTGAGTCTGGGTTACAATACTGCCACGTTGGCAGAGTTGGTCCATGTTTGTGCCAGTGGAATTTGTGCAGAACTGGACCCTGAAAGTGTTCATGAATGTTTCCCAACTTGACTACTGTCACCATGGGTCACGTGGTACCCGGTTACAGCTTCCCTGTGTCTCTCTCTGTGGCCAGCTTGGTGGCATTGGTCCCTTCCACTGCTGGGAGAGCTGGCTGAGTCCAGGGACCTTGAAACTGTTATCAGTTTTGGGCAGGTCTTCAAAAAAAAAAAGCCTTTGTCAGATTTTATTTTCCATTTGCTAATGAAAAATGTTCTTTGCCATCAGCCCATTAGGATAAACTCAGCTGGGATGGGCAGAGAGGCTTTAGGGGTGATTCTTTAAGTGCCTAGAAGCATACAAATGGGTTAAATCCAAGACACCACCTGGGGTTCTTCTCTGCGCATTCCTGTTGCCTGTTGGTGCAGACATTTAAACTTGCTGCCTGAATCAAGAGTCGTGTGTTAGCATCAGTAGAGGATATCTCCCTAAGTATGTAGTTTTCTGTAATTTGTGCTCTCAGCAATTTGCATGCATTTGCTAGGACATCTTTAGTCCAGCTGAGTGTTCAAAGTCAGTAAAGCCACTTGACTTATATCTGAGAGCACACGGTTGTTGCGTTGGGGTTTTTTGCTCCAACCAGTTTAATGCCTTGTTTAATCCTGCAGAATTTAATTTTTCTGTTGACCAGCATTTGCTCAGTGGAGCCAGCCAGTTTCCTCTGTTATTAATCTCGTTTTTTCTGCTCTCCCTTGGGTCCTACTGTTTAATATAGCTTTGGGTTTTTTTTTTCCCTCCTCTTTTTTCCCCAATGTTTTGCCATTCTATACAATGTTTTTGTCTTGTTGTCTTCATCTCTTTTCCCCTCAGACTGCAACTGAAATTGTTGCTGAAGAGATTCCGGTAAGCAAAATTAGATTCCTAGAACTCAGAATTTTTCGTTGTCAGACCATATCCTCTTCACTTGGCTCCTTTATCTCTACCAGCTCTGCCCAGCAAGGCCTTGCTGGGCAGAGCTACTCCTAATACCCCTAATTAAGAAATTAGAATCAGTCAAGGTCTCGTACAAATCCATATGTTGTCTGAGGTAGGCCCTTTCAAAGATGATGGAGATGAGGATCTTGACAAATAATCTCTCAGAAAAATTCAGCAAAGCTGCTGTGGTATTTTCCATGCCTTGCAAAGCTGGCTGCCTGTGGCAAATTTCCTGTGATGACACGCCAAAAAGATGATGCCTTTATCAGGCACCGTTTCCCATTAAAACCGCTTAAAAAGCTAGCGGTCCTGTTCGTATTGGTTCCTGGTTTGCTGTGATGCTGGCTGCTTTTGCACAGCCCAGTGCTATGAGGAGCAGAGTCTCTT